TCATACATCGTTCGGCTTGTTATATACACCGTTATACACAGTTACATGTATTTGGTTCGGCTTGTTATACACCGTGTAACAAGAAACAAAGACAAGTTTGGTGAATCAAGTTTGGTAATTTCTGTATACATAGTCCACGATTTGTTCTAATTTGAAAAGGTAGAGTACTCCAACAGATAATCTCCAATTCCGGTTTGATCAACAAACGTAAGAACAATGTATCTTTGATGATTTGCATATCCAACAGTTATATAATGAATTTTAAGATTTAATGCAAATATCAGTAACTAAGTTCCAAAAAAAAGTCTATGTATCTAAAACGAATACTGTTAATGCTTTGGATACGGTAATATACCTTTGTAGACTTCTCCAAAGGTGGGTGCCTCGAAGAAGACCTCAATTTTCTCTTTCAAACAGAACATTGGGGAGTATCAGGAGAAGTCGTTTCAGAAGCAGAAACATGCCCTTGGAGAAGAGAAGCAAGTAGCTGCTGATCAGAAGACACATTGGCCTCAGAGATCTTTGCATTGTCCGTCATAGAAGGCTGGTGAGAAGTTCTTCCCGCTGTATCATTCGCTTTTTACTCCTTATCTCTCTCTTTTTAGCAATCCCAACTGATTTTTAGCTTGGGTGGAACTCGAAGCCCTTGGGCGCTTCGAATCAAATCGAGAAGGAATCAGGGGAGGAGAAAGAAAATTGGCAGGAAAAGCTTAAACAAATACATCGCTTAAAACACGTGAAAAGTTTGGGCTAGCAAAAACAACACTTACAAGAGATAATATCGAGAACCACCTCAATACGGGACAAAGTAATTGTAACACCCCCACCCGCCAACCTTCATGAGCCTCACCCTCATTGGACGTCCGGTACGTTATCGGAAAGGCTTGGTAGACTTGATATACTGATCTTGCAAACACTGCATGAATATTCCCCGTGCTTTTTCCTAACTTGCACAGTATCGAGATTGACCAGCTTGCACCAGCTTCCAGATAGGTCATCCATGCTTTGTTTGCTGTAGCGAAAGCACACTTATATAGAGTTCTCTCCGGATAGTTAACCGAAAAGGCAAGTACACTTTGTGTCATATGTAGTCACATAAGTTCTTATAAGTCCTTTCCACTTAGAGCATGATTGGTTTCTCCGCTATCACCCGAAAACACAGCTTTTGCGGTTGGTAGTGGTTGTTGGCATTTTGAAACAATCACTCAAACCGTTCTGAACCACTTCAAACCGCTCTAAACCTCTTAAATTCAAGCGCTAGTTCCAACTAGCGATTGCGATTGCGGGCGGTTGCGGGAGAGTGATTTTTTTTCTTTAAAAAAAACAATACAAATACAAAAAAAATATTCAATAAATTTTTTAAACTGGAATTATAAAATATATCTTTTATATTTTAATTACTATTATTAAAAAATTTAAAAATATTTTCAATAATTTTAAAAATTTAAAACTATAACTTTATAAGTATAATTTCTAATTTCTATATTTATTATAATATTATGATTTTTGGTATCTTTTATTATTATACAAAATGTAAATATTGTTAAATTATATTTAAACCGCTACTGCATTTGATAGTTAACCAGTCATAAATATCCTACATACGCACCAATTTGTAATCGCAGTACCAGTCATATAAATCTCTCAAAACCACAAGAAGCGGCAACCACCCGCATCCCCAAACTCCCGCAACCGCAACCGCTGTATTTGAACCAGTTAGACCTTTAATCTACTACCACAAAACCGGGGTATTACATTCACCCCCACTAACAAAGTGCAGCGTCCTCGGTGCATGTCTGGACCATCACCCCTGATGGTGTGAGTTCACTCGACTCCACACACTCATCAGGTTTTGGCTCTTATATCAATTGCAACACCAAAACCACCAAATTCCGTTAGCCCAACGTCCACTCTCGCCCATAAACCTCACCTTAATTGGAGATTCGGTGCGTTATCAGAAAGGATCAGTAGACTTTATATACTGACCATGCAAACACTACGTGACCATTCAACGTGTTTTTCCTCACTTACACAGTATCGGGATTGACCAGCTTGGAGCAGCTTCCCGTGGCTCGGTAGACTTGATATACGTACCATGCAAACACTATGTGACCATTCAACATGTTTTTCCCTCACTTACACAGTAGTGAGATTGACTAACTTGCACCAGCTTCTCGAGGCTCGGTAGACTTCATATACTTACCATGAAAACACTTTGTGACCATTCAACGTGCTTTTTCTCACTTACACAGTACTAGGATTGACTAGATTGCACCAGCTTTCCGATAAATCACTCATCCTTTGATTTCTCCATCTTAAGTATGCTTAAATTTGGAGTTCTCTGTGAATAGTTAACCAAAAAGGTAAGCCCTCAAACCCAGGGTACTACATTCACCCACACTAACATAGTGAAACGTCCTCGTTGTACATCTGGATTGTCACCCCTGATGGTGTGAGTCCACTCAACTCCACATACTCATCATGTTTCAGCTTTGATACCAATTGTAACACCCCAACCCGCCAACGCTTGTGAGCCCCCATACCCACTCTTGGCATGTGAACCTCAATCTGATTGGATGTCTGGTGCGTTATCGAAAAGGCTTGGTAGACTTGATATACTGATCCTGTAAACAAGACGCGACCGTTCCCATGATTTTTACTCACTCAAAAAGTATGGGCTTGCACTAGCTTCCCGATATTGCTCCAGCTCAAGAATTATTAACTCTGGATTTCTCTTCGGATAGTTAACCGAAAAGGTAAGTGCACTTTGCGCCAATGGTAACCAAACCAATTCTTATAAGTCCTTCCTACTTAATCTACTACCACAAACCCAGGATACTACTGTGATTCCAAGCACACACAAAGACGGCCTTAAACTGCTCGATGACCGAATTCAAATCTGAAATTTATTGTTTCGTCTTCACAAGGCGTACTACAAAACAAAAACATATCAATAAAACCGATGTAACTAAAAATAAGAAAAACTTATAAGCAAAACAACCCACCGTGTTTCTCATTCCAACCCGGTCAAAAAATCTTCACGAGATCACCAGGCACCAAATTTGTGTCGATCTTCATGAAGAAATAATTACCCTCCCAGTTAGTTTTGCGATATTGGTAGGAGGTGTTGTACTAATTTGGAGATTACATAGATAATACACACCGCTCTTTTCACAAACAGACTTGAAAGACGTGACAGTCTTAAGGAGCTGTGAACTCATTAGCCCCCTAGTTGAGAAATTGCTATATGACGTCTCCGATAGTAACGTAATGAAAGACGAGGTAGAGGATATCATAAATGGCATTCTTCCAAGAACAACTGATGGATGGCAAATACCCCAACGGCGTCGACCATGGGCCATCAGAAGAAGAAATTTGATTTTAGGAGAATTCTCTAGAGCTTCCCTTAAACTGAAGATATAATTTTATATTTCCATGTACAGAACATGGGATGGGAAACAAAAACTAAAGGTTTCTCGTCGGGACCATAGGAAAGATTCACTGTAGCGGTCATATTACAAGAAAGACATCAGAGTCTGACTCGGACGACGAACCAAACACCATGGCGTTCCTACACCTTATGAGGGCTCCAGAAGAGAAAAGTGAGCGATAGGCAGTTGTCATCATCTGAGGAACTTTCAGAAATTACAACTTACAAATTCAACGCTTCATTAAAGGCAAAGGAAAAAGATCATTCAACACTTCATTAACTGGGGACTTTATTGAGACTTGATCAGAAAGGAAGAAAACTCGACAGAGAAAGAATACAAAGAGAGAGAAAATTAACAAAATAATAAGAGAAAGCAAAGAAAGAAAAAATAAAATACAAAATACTACACCCTTGAGCCTGGAAACCAAGAGACAAATGATTACGAGTTATAGAACAATTTGTGTTCATACTTAATGTTGGAGGTTGGGTCACACCCTAGACTTGGTGCAAGAATCCGCTCCAATGCCAAAAATCCCAGAAGAAGGCAGCACCCACCGAGCTGACACGGTTTGACCTAAACGTAAAGTATACAGATCAGAGGATTAACGACCTTGAAGACTATCATAAAGGCACTTGATACTTACCATTGACGTTATGACAACCTCTAGGCCACTATAAAAGGAGAATCAAGGAAAAAAAATAAGGGATCCTAATTCCTTCTCTTTAAAAAAAAAATATACAACTTACCTATATAATTAGGGAATTATGCTAATATATAACAAAAAACAGTCTTCATGTCCCATTAGTATAAATCACTTTTTGTCCATTTTTTCTCCCTTTTACCCTTTCTATTTATAAAAATTAATAAAATAAATAATTCTATGACTCGGAAAAATATATAAAAATACAGAGAAGTGATGAAATACCTATATACACAAAGAGATGTTTTTAATATTTTCAAAAACTTGTTAAATTAAAAATTGTAATTACGTTCTACGGAGAGTAGAACTCATATTCTACGAAAAATTGAATAGTAGAACTCATATTCCTCGTTAAACAGTAAACTCTACAATTTTTAGAAGCTATATTCTACGTTTTTATAGGACTCTACAAATTTTAGAATCTATATTCTACGTTTATATAGAATTCTACAGAATAACTGAATGCGGGTTCTACATTTTAAGCCACTTCTACATATCTCTGAATACGTAATCTACACATAACTCAAACTTCTACTATTAGTAGAATTTGCTTACAGTGGGACGTTAGTAATTCTACTTTCTGTAGAAGGTAGATTCTACGGATAAGATTAAACAAAAATCCGAAATTTTGGGAAAATATTTAGGAAAATATTCAAAAATATATTTTTTAATAATTTGGGATCGGGATCGATTGATCTAAAATAGAGATCGACCGATCTATGATAGATCGATCGGTGAAGATCGACTGAACTGGACAAGGTCGATCAGTTTCAGCTCTGTGCTTTTTTATGTTTTTGTTTAATCATCGAGATCGACCGTTGGGATCGACCGAACTCTTTCTGGGATCGATCGATCCCGTCATTCGAAAGATGTACTCTAACAGGTGAGGTACTCTTGAAGAGGTTAATCTTGGCAAGCAGATTCATGCATGTGTAGCTAAGCTAGGTCTGGAATCTGATGTCTCGGTTGGTACTCCTCTCGTTGATTGTTACATCAAATGTTCCAGCTTTGAGTCTGCTCTTCGTGCATTCGAGAAAATCAGTGAACCAAACGATGTTTCCTGGAGCGCAATCATTTCTGGATACTGCCAGATGAGTCAGTTTGAAGAGGCTATTAAAACTTTCAAGTCTTTGAGAAGCAAAAATGCGGCGATTCTAAATTCGTTTACATATACTAGCATATTCCAAGCTTGTTATGTACTTGCAGATTGCAACATTGGTGGCCAAGTCCATGGAGATGCTATAAAAAGGAGCCTGGTTGGTTCTCAGTATGGAGAAAGCACTCTCATTACAATGTATTCAAAATGTGGATGCTTAGATGACGTCTGTGCAGTCTTTAAGTCGATGAATAACCCAGACATTGTTGCTTGGACAGCTTTTATATCAGGTCATGCCTACTATGGAAACGCCTCTGAAGCTCTGAGATTGTTTGAGGAAATGGTTAGTTGTGGCATGAAGCCAAACTCAGTTACTTTTATTGCGGTTTTAACCACATGCAGTCACGCAGGTATGATTGAACAGGGCAAGCGTTATTTGGACACTATGCTTCCAAAGTACAACGTGGCTCCAACTATTGACCATTATGATTGTATGATAGACATTTATTCACGTGCAGGACTATTAGACGAAGCTCTCAAGTTTATGAAGAATATGCCTTTTGAATCTGATGCAATGAGTTGGAAATGCTTTCTAAGTGGGTGTTGGACGCACAAGAATCTCTAACTAGGGGAGATTGCTGGTGAGGAACTACGCCAACTCGATCCAGAAGATACGGCTGGATATGTTCTACCGTTTAATCTGTATACGCAGGCTCGAAGATGGGAAGAAGCTGCTGAAATGATGAAACTAATGAATGACAAGATGCTAAAGAAGGAACTAAGCTGCAGCTGGATCAGAGAAAAGGGTAAGATTCATCGGTTTATAGTGGGTGATAAACACCATCCACAAACTCAGGAGATCTATGAGAAGCTCAAGTAGTTTGATGATTTTATGGAAGGTGATGTGTTTCAGTGTAGTATGACAGATAGAGATGTCAAATGGGCCTTATGCCCATGGACAGTCCATGTCCAAACCCATTTGGACTAACCAAAATTAGACCAACAAATAAAATTGTCCAACTGGGTTGAGCCCAATAAATCCCAATTCCATTGGGCTTAAACCAAATGGACATTGGCTGCCCAATCATTTAAAATTGTTAGGGTTTTCATTTTGGGGAAAAAAAATCTCAATCTCTCTCGACTCTCGGCGGCTCGCGGCTCTCTCTCTCTCAAACATCTCTCTCGACTCTCTGCGAGGCACGCTCTATTCTTGCCGATCAGTCCAGATTCGTGTCTCTCCATCTCAAGTCTCAACTCCCCTCTCTCTCACTGATAAGGTTATGTATCATCTCAAGTTCTCAATCACTCACTCTTTGATGGGTTTTCGTTTTTCTTGCTTTTAGGTTGATGGGTTTTCGATTTGCTTTCAGGTTGATGGGTTGATGGTCGCGGCTCTCTCACTCTCTTAGATCCGTCTCCCTCGAATCTCGATCTGCCTCTTTGGTTTGGTTCGTGAAATCACTGAAATCTCTTTGGTTTGTGGTTTTAACTGATGGGTTTGTGGTTTAACTATTTTCTGTAAGCTTTTGGGTGTATAGGTGAAGTAACATTTGATATTTGGAGATGATGATGATTACATAGTATTTAATTTGAGAAGCTTGTAGTAGTGTTTGTTTTCATTGTTGTATAGGCCGTTGTGTTTTACTTAGCCAACTTTATTAGATACTCTTATAAATACTCTTATAAATCTGGTGAACCATGTTGTGTATTGACATCTGTTTCTGCATAATTTTATATGTGTGTGTCTGCAGGAGTTTATATATTATATATGTTAGGTTATATTCGTTGTGTTTATATGCTTAGTTTGGACATATTCGTTGTGTTATTGGCTAACTGATGAGATAATGTTGTGTTTTTTTATAGGAGATGCTGAGAAGATAAGAAGAAGAGGACCATAACGTTTATATATTTTCTTATGTTTTTATTTATGCTTTGGATTATTGTGAACTTTGTCTATGTTTTGGATTTGTAAAACTATGAATCTATTGTATGAAATTTTTATGTTTTGAATTTGTAAGAGATTTTAAGAGATTTGGGCTTTAAAAACAGAAAAATATTTGGACTTTGCGGAAGGCCCATTTGGAATGGTCCAATTTGGTCTGGACAATTTGGACTTGGTACAATTTGGGCTTAAAAATAATTATGTCCATTTGGTCTGTTGTGTCCATTTGGACATGCCCATTGGACATGGACAGCCCAATTGACATCTCTAATGACAGAGAGAAGAGAACAGCTTCGTGATCACATCGAGAGACTTGCTATTGCATATGGGTTGATATCGGTGAATGGCAATGCTCGTTCACCTATAAAGGTATTCAAGAATCTCAGAGCATGTCCAGATTGCCATGAGTTTGCAAAGCATGTGTCTTTGGTTACAGGACATGAAATCATTATCCGAGATTCTAGAAGGTTTCACCATTTCAAGGAGTGGAAGTGCTCATGCAACGATTACTAGTGACTGGTGATCTTTAGAGTCTGTATTAGTATCTGTAGATACTTTCAGTTGGATACTAATCCAACAAAAACAAGTCTGCAAATTAAAAGTAAGAGCGTGCAAACGTGAATACATTATATGTTAAAAGTATTTCAAATGCAATTCTTAAGTTTACAAAACTGGATTAACATTTTCTGACTGCAAAAAGTACTCAACCACACAAGAAGAAAGATATACAATACTGTTAAAACTGTGGTAACATGACTGTTCTGGAACCCTGGGGTCGAAGGACATGACTACTGGTTGGACCTGGAGGCTTCCCATAATCGAAGTTCTATACGCCGCTTTCTTAGCTCTGTTAGCCCTTGCTCAACTGAAAATTAGAACTAACCAGTTTAGACCTTGTATCCTCTCTTGGTAAAAATTTATGTTAAATTGTACCTTCCATGGCGTCATTTGAAGATGGAGAGTGTGCACTTCTACTAGTCCAGAACTGAAGACGTTCTCTTGTAATGTCCACATCTACGCCAAGACAGCCGCCGTCGATTTCGCCTGAGAAGATCTCCCCGTCGATAAAACCGGAGAGGACACAATCGCCTTTGCTGGAGAAGACACAATCACCTTTGTTTTCTTCTCGAAATAGAGAGATGGTTTACCAAATTAGGGTTACGGGAGAGTGAAAGAGATTTTGTTCCCTTTTTGTTTTTATTATTATTTTAATCCTCTTAGTTTTTAATTTGATTAATATTTTATAAATTGAATTCTAATTAAATTTTTTGTTTAATTACATTAATCCAGAGTCACTTCTGGGATTATAGAAAATATTATACTAAATGGACAAGAATAATAAGGATTTATACTAATGGGACATGAATGCTGTTTTTTTGTTCTATATTATGATTAACAAATGTAACAATATTATTGAATCATTTTTTTGGAAAAAAAATTTGAATCATGAAACTTGTAACATATATATATATATATATATATATATATATATATAATTTTTTTTATTGTGAGTCACGACAATAAATAAAAAAGATATGACCCTTCGATCCGATATATAAGGTAATAATGGAGCATTAACCCTCTTTTGTCATTGGAAATGAAATATCTGAAAGCTAAACCTCCTTCTTATCTATTTTTTTACGTCTGAGGAACCAGATCTGAAAGTTGTGACCATCTATACTTTGCTCTTAGATCCGTATGTGACCGCTAACACAAGATAAGGCAATTAACGACCCGGTCGTGAACTTATCTCATGTCGAGTAATCTGTCGGGACACTAGTCCTTTGTTAATCGGATCTAGGTTTTATGTGGATGATGTGATATGATCTAGATCTAGGTTGTGTGTGAAGTGTTATATGTGTTGTTGTGATGAAAACATTTAGATGTGATTGGTTAATGATAAACTAATGATGAGTTAATGAGAATGTTAATGAGTTATTGAGAATGAGAATGAGTTAATGTGAATGATGTATTGATTGAGACACCGAGAACGGATGGCGTCTAGAAAGAGATGTGATGAGTTAATGTGAAAGCCTGTGTATGGGTCTGTAAAAACGTGGGATAGGAATAGTGGGGCACCGTAAGATCGAATCATGCCGAGTCGTGGCATAAGTAAACTGTGAAAGGACGAGAACCGCATGGAAGAGAGTGTTGAAAAGGGCCAACGGGTCGCAAGCAGGTGGTTACGTAGGAAGCTGAGCGATAGATGTGAAACTTAAGATTCCTTGGAATAGGCCGACACGAAGTGGGATGTCTATGAGCGGGCCATAGGTCCTTACGTCTAAGTTGTTTATTGCATAATATATTTTATTAGCTTTTGACTATATTAATTTTTTATTTGTTCTAAGTTGAATTCGTGGGTTCCTAAAACCTATCTTCACTGAGTAAACTATAGTCATCCCCTCTCTTTTCAGGTATGGTTGAGAGGGAACATGAGTAAAAGTCCGCATGGTTGTTTTTTTTTGTTGTGAACTCTTACCGCATTTTCTAAGACTTACGTTGAGTTATTCGGATTTTGCATTTGAGTTTGTTTTAGGTAAGACGATTAGGTTCTTAATAAAGGTTTGTCGGACATAAAGTGAAATAGTTAAGATTATAAATAAGATCCTAGGGATGTGACCTTTACAAAAGTGTTGTAAACCACCAAACAGCTAAAAACTCTATAAAGAAAATAATAGAAAGACGATATCTATCTCGAGACATCAAAGTCTTCTAGTCTATGAATAACTAGTTTCATTAGTTAAGTCATCTGATATGTGGCCTCCAAAATGATAAATATATTTGTGGCCTAAAGCATATGCTTCTTATTCTCTAAGGAAGGGACATGTGTGGATGCACTGTAGAATAGTGGTTAAGGTGTAAAGGTTTCTACACCAGACGTGAATCCGCATAAGGGATGTAGAATTGTTGGTTGTAATATCATGTATGTAATTTCTCATAGTTTGTAATGCATAATTATCCAGTGTTAAAAAAAAGGAAGAGACATGTCTGGTTGTATCTTCTTATATTATAAAGGGAAGTTAACTCAACTAATATGAATTTTATTAATTATTATCACAACCATACAAAACTTTTTTTTATTACTACCTTTTTTTTAATACCCAGCGTGCCCTTTTTTCATGTTGTGAGAAAAAACATATTTACAAGAATGCCATTACTTTTTTATGCCACGTAAGCAAAAAGTTTGGGTCCACGTAAGAATGCGGCAT